ATATATATATATATATATATATATATTTCTGTATGTGTATGTATAGTACACTTTGTTTAAGATAAATTGCTAAAGGAAATGTTTATCCAGCAAATGTTTATCCAGGTGCTACAGAAAACAGTCAAAAGAGAATGCATTTTGTAGCAGTATATAACTTCTTATTTAAGTGTAAATTACTTAAAACACTTTCTAAGAAGTTCTTAAAATTTTTGCCATGAAGTTTTGACATTGGGCTATGGATCTGGGCCCAACTATAATATGTCTGTGGTACTGGCAGCTTCAAAACTAACAAACAATTCTAGAGTTTTCCCGGTACTTACCATCACAATTTTTTTTTTAAAAGATTTTATTGAGGAATTGTGTGTGTGTGTGTGTGTGTGTGTGGGGTAACAGCCAAGTTGTCCTTCAATCTTAGTTGTGGAGGGCGCAGCTAGTTCAGCTCCAAGTCTAGTAGCCATCCGGCCACCTGTCGGCAGCTCGTGGTCGCTCAGCTCAAGGTGCTGTGTTCAATCTTAGTTGCGGGTGGGCATAGCCCACCATCCCATGTGGGAGTTCAACCTGGCAACCTTGTTGTTAGGAGCATGTGCTCTCACCAACTGAGTCATCCTGGCACTTGTTAGCAGCTCAGTTCGGGTGCAGCTCAGCATGGCAGCTCACTGGCCCATGTGGGAATCGAACCTGTGACCCTGTTGCTCAGACCTTGCGCTCTGAACCAACTGAGCCACTCAGCCGGCTCATAACATCACCATATTTTGAATTTATCTTATTGGACTATATTGACTGGAAAACACTGTTTTTATTTTATTTTATTTTATTTTTATGTGTAATCCTTCCTTCTTTTATCTTTGTTTTTTTGTAGCGGCTTCAGAAGCTGCAAAAGCAAGTCAGAAGCTTGCTGAAGATTTCTTCAGAGAAGAATATACACTAAACAATGCCATTGGTATGTGTGCTCTGCTGAGAGTTTTGAAAATGGAATCAAGAAACGCAGCACAATATGAATTATTAAAATGTAATCAAAAGGTGCTGTTATTTAATCTTGTATATACTATGTGCCAGGCATAAATAAATTTGATTGAACTGTTCTGACTGCTCATTCCAAAACAGGTCACACTTTTTATACTGTAGTAGGCTATATTTAACTACTGTTTGTCACATGATCAGTATGAAAACATGGATTATGATCTTATAGATGGCTTTCTTGGAAAACAAAAAAATTGGGTCCAAGTTTTCTCTGTAAAATGAAGTGTCATTTTATAATTCTTAAGGAACTCTGGGATGAAAATTTCTTTATAGTTGATGTTCTAGATTAGATGTTCCAGAAGTGAAGCAGTCCTTTTATCAAGCATGTGTTTCAAATGTTAAATTATAGGAAATAATATAATTAATACATGAGTACTCACCAGCCCAGAATGAACAGACATCAGGATTTTCTTTTTGTATGATGTTTTAAAATTTATATAGGAGAAATTTATTAGAAGTTTTAAAATTACAGTTCAGCCTATTTTGTTGCTTTCCTCATTGCCATTTCTTTCTTTCTCCAGAAGCAGTCATTCTCATTAATTTGTCATGTATCCTGCTAGACCATACTCTATAGTTTTACTACATATTTATGAGCAAAAGTTGTAGTCTTTTGTGTTTTGAAATTTACATAAGTATTTTACTGTATATGTCATTCCTTAAGTTGTTTTTAATAACATGGAATGCAACTGGTCTATAGTATTCAATATTTGAATATATTCCACATCTTCTATTCCACATTAATGGATATTTTAGGTTATTTCAAATTTTTACTAATACAGATTGTTGTACCTTTATATATGTCCCCTTAATGCCCATGTGCAAGTTATTCTAGAAATAATAGAAGCGGGATGGATGGATCATAGAGTTTATACATCTTCATTTGTTTCCAAATTCTTCTCTGAAGTCCAAGACTTGATCTTCTACCTTCTTCTCTATCATTTTTGCTGTTAAACTTAGCATGTTTAATATCGTATTGTGGCTTTAATTTGTATTTTATTGAATCCCAGTGAGTAGAAGGTGTTTTCTTATGTTAATTAGCTAGATTTTCTTCTCAGTTTTATCTTTCGTTCATCTTTCTATTGTATTTCTTGTCTTCTTACTGATTTTGTAGGTCTTTATGTATTCTGGATTCTTTCCTATTGTAGATTATACATATTACAAGTGCTTTTCTCTAGTCTGTTACTTTGATTTATCTTTTGCCCTATACAGTGGTATATTATTTGATGGTATGAAATGTATCCATTTATTTCCCTTATGATTTCTGTGTTTTTGTATTAAAAAAACCCAACTTAACACTGAGGTTATTTAGATGTTCTCTCATATTTTCTTTTAATAGTTTGAATATTTTGTTTCCTTATACTCTAAGTCTTTAATGTACTTGGACTTTTTTTTGCATATGTAACATCTAACTTTCATATTGCAGCTAGAAAGCCAGATGTAGCCATACTTTTTTAAAAAAGTATATTCTTCCTCACTGATTTTAATGATACCTCTGTTATATATCAAGTTCTTATATATGACCAGGTCTGTTTCTGGTCTAGTTTGTTCATTGATCTATTTCTTTGTACTTAGGTTGAAACTATGCTGTCAAAATTATTATAGCTTTAAGATATGTCTCTGTGGTAGGACAACTTGCCCTTGTTTCATTTTATTTTATTTTTTTAAAGATTTTATTGAGGAGTTGGGGGAGGGGAACAGCGCTGGGGAATTGAGGGAAGGGGAACAGACAATTGCTGTTTTTTTGTTCTTCAGTCTAGTTGTGGAAGACATTGCTTCACTGGCCCATGTTGGTATTATCATTGCGCTCTTCCCAGGCGAGGCAGATGGGTCGCCAGCCTCTGGACGGCCGTTCACGGTGACTCTTGGCAGCTCACGCTGGTGCCCTTGTTTCATTTTAGAATTGTCTTGCCTACTTATTTTTGGACTTTTGATCTTCCGTATGAATTTTAGAATTTTGTCAGATTCCACAAAAGATTCTGTTGAGATTTTGATTGGCATGATAATGAATTTTAGATTAATTTGAGGGCAGTTAATATTTCTGCTATTGAGTCTCCCCGTTTATTTATTCATGTAGGATATCTGTTTGTTTATTCATGTAGACTTAAAAAAAATTTATGGAATTATCATTTACATACTATAAAAGTCACCCATTTCAAGTATACAATTCAATAATTTTTAGTAAACTTTTGCAACCATCACCATAAACCAGTTTTAGAATATTTTCATCCAATTGACTTTCATGTCCATTTTATAACATTTTGTAATTTTCTTTATAAAGATCTTACCTTTTTTTTAAGTTTTATTCTTAGGTAGCGTATTTTGTTACTACATTAATGGTATTTTTTCTATTACATTTTCTTTTTTTAAAATTGGGGAACAGTGTGTTTTTCCAGGACCCATCAGCTCTAAGTCAAGTAGTTGTTTCAATCTAGTTGTGGAGGGCGTAGCTCAGTGGCCCATACGGGGATCAAACCGGCATCCTTGGTGTTATGAGCACTGCGCTCTAACCAACTGAGCTTACTGGCCGCCCCTATTACATTTTCTAATTGACGATTTCTGGTGTATAGCAATACTTTTGGTTTTAATATTTGTTCTTATATCCAGAAACCCTGTTGAAATTATTAATTGTAAAGAGATTTTGGTAGTTTCTTTTGGCTTTTCTAATAGGCAGTTCTACCATCTGCACATAATTTTTTTTGTCTCTTTACTTCCTTATATTTATGATTTTTAAAAATATTTTGACCAGGACCTTTATTATTATGTTCAATGATTGTAGTGTCTCATTTTTTATGTCCATGGCAAAACTTTTAAATTTGATTCTTTAGTGTAACCGTTTTATAGACACGTTTTACCTAGATATGGACTTCTATTCCAAATTTGTTAGGGATGCTTTGTTTGTTCAGTTGTAGTGGAGGTGGTGGTTATCCAGTGCTTGAACATCTACTTTCTCTGACTTTTCTCTCCTCCCCTGGGCAGAAACTTAACTGAGTTCCTTGATCAACAGATAGTTTTTCTAGTCATATTTTACAAATTTAATAGCTCTTCCTGGTATGAGGCTTTGTGCAGTTAATTCAGTGCATAAGGTATGTGGCCCAGAATTTATTTCCAACTGAAAACAGCTACACACACACTCATAATCTTTGACTGTAGCTTCCACTCACCTACTGACTTTGAGTTTCTTATTTGTTTCTGGCACCTGTGGATTTCCCTTGTTTGGCTTCGAACTTGGATATACATTTAAATTTTATTTTTTCTAGAATTTCTGTCTTTGAAGTAGGAGTTGGGGAAAGAGGCTGTTTTCCACTTCAACTCCGTGAGCCAAATCGAAGAGACGTCTCTCACTTCTTTAAGTCTAAAATTCTACATATCAAATTTACTTAGAATGTTTTCTTCCAAAAATTTATACCAGCATTGTCCATTAGGACTTTCTACAGTGATGAAAATATTCTTTAGCTGTGCTGCTTCAATATGATAGCCACTAGCCAGCCACATGTGGCTAATGAGCACTTGAAATGAGGCTAGTGTGATCAAGAAATTTAATTTTAAATTTTATTTAATTGTAATGAATTTTAATCTAAATAGCTACATTTGGCTAGAGGCTACTATATTAGACAGGGTAGTTCTAAATTAAATACAAGGAGATGGGAAATACCTCTGAGTAGTTTGAAAAGAGAGTTTGGTAGAATGTTAATATACAGAGAGAAAGCCTTCAAGGTATAATTTCTATACATTGTAATGACGTATTTTCATCAGTAAGGAATTGGACAGATTCTGGTTTTATGTCCTGCATCAATTAGCTTCTAATATTTTATGTCTGAAATATATGTATCTATAGCTGAAATGGTGTGTGTCTGTGTGTGTGTGTGTGTGTGTGTGTGTGTGTGTGTGTGTGTGTGTGTGTTTATGTATCCCCATTTCAATCAATAGAGAAATTTCTTTCCCTAGTTTCTAGGGAATTAGCGTTCAAAATTGAGGGCTATTGAGGTCTTTGTGAATGTGAAGTTAGATTTGGGCTTTGATGGCTCATTTGACAAATGGGGGATATTTACCGAATTGTTAAATGGATTTAAACTGTAGTTTTTTTATTGGTCTTCGGTAAGGAAGTAATATTGGCGACAAGCTGTAACAGAAACTCAGTGATTTACATTTTAAGTTGCGGGCAACTCCCCCGTTCAGAGGAAAAACAGAAAAGGGAAAGGAACAGACTAAAAGTTTACATAATTTTTGAGCTGGAAGGGACTTCTGAGGCCATATATTAAGTCTTGTCATATAATAGATGAGTAGACTTATCTGTGTGTCATATATGTATATACACATATGTGACATGCATATAACTTGTGTGTGTGTATACTCTATATACGAAATACGTAGATTTCTAATGCCAGTATACATATATATATATATATATATATATATATATATGAATTGCCAGTTTGTATGGTGTGTGTGTAATGCCAGTATATATATTGAATATAACTGCATTGCCAATTAATGACAAGTCTGAGACTACAATCTGGGTCTTCTGACTCCCAGGCCATGCTTTTCCCTTTATGCTACACTTCTCTTTGTATCCAGATACTATTCTAGATGTATAGAAAACAAATTATGTTTTTTGAAACACAACTGTATACATAAACCACAGTGGCTTGTAGGGCAGTTGTTAATTATATTTCTCAATAGATGAATTATACAAGGCTTTCATTTGTCTCAAACAGAAGCGTTGTTAAATGATAATGAACAGATGATCAGGATTGTTTATGGATTGACATTTAAAAACTCATTTTACCAGCCATACATTTAGTCTGCCTTGATATTTCTTGTAAAAATTTCCTTGAGAGGGAGCATTTGAGGTCTTGTTTCCCAGCAATGTCATCAGTTTGGCTTAAATAAACTCATAAAAATTCTCTATAGGTTTGGAAG